AGTCCCTTTAATTTCAAACTCTGGTCATCTATTCGCCACGGGCCCCTGAGGCCACGGCAGGGCGCCCGGGTTGACTTGCACGGCCCGAGAGGGGCGGGGCTGGCGCCGGGGGGTTTGGACCCCGCTTACAACTGCTTGCAGTTCTAGTTTAGTTTTAGGGGTCGAAGCCCGAGCGGGCTCCCAGTACAGCGAAGCGGCTAGGAACCCTATTGTTTTCGCTAGGATTTTATTATTAAATATTAATTAATTATTAATTTTTTTTTCTTCCGTAAAGAAAACTGATACTGCGGCCTAGATGATAAGAGCTACAGACACAGGGTAGGTCCAACTATTGCGCTAAAAAAGCGCTATAAGCAGGAAGTGATGTCATATCTTAGGTTGGGAATGGCCAATCAACACCAAACTTGAGGACCTTACGTGCCATACCCCCGTCAGGGGCTATGCAAAATTTGGTGCAGTTAGCCGCTAGTTGGCGCTATTAAAACATGCATTTTATATCTCCATAACCACAAGTCCGATTGATACCAAATTTGGGGCAATTGTTCCCCATGGGGCCCTGATGACACCTGAGAAAAATTGTGCAATTCGGCCTAAAGGTGGCTCTATAATCGAAGCTCAAATGCCGTCAGCAAATCCCATTCATTTCAATGGGATTTTCAACAAAGCCATATTTTGCCTCATAACTACGTCCCATTACACCGCACATTCTGCCGATTCCGATGTTATAGAACACGCCTCTGTGCGATGACGTTTTCATTTCACTAAATCACGAAAACTGAAAAACCTATTTTAATTAACTCCTCTCAAGCCGAAAGTTCGATCGGCATGAAACTTGGCACAGACCATCTCAGGACTAAGCCAATAAAACTTTGTAGAGGAAATTTTGATCCGCTAAAAAACATCCAAATTATAAGCTAACAAATGTTTGCGCAAACGCTAAAACAGGATGTCATGTCAGATCTTACGTTTTCAACGGACGATCTACACCAAACTCGGGGACCTTATCTGGCACAACCTTCCGAGGGCTGTGTGAAATTTGGCATCAATCGGGCTCTAGGTTGCACTATTCATTGGAAATCAAATAACACTCCCATTGACATACATTCATTTTATATCTCCGTAACCGCAAGTCCCTTTAATTTCAAACTATGGTCATCTGTTCACCATGGGCCCCTGAGGCCATGGACTGAAAAAGATTTTACTTAATTTTTTATTAGATATTTGTTGACAAAAAATTTATCATAAATATTTTGAATGTTCTATCTCAGACTTTAATGTGATCCACTGTTTAGCATCAAGTGTTGACCATAAAGAAAAGTTTAAACCACAATCGCCATCAGGTTTCTTCAGCTTTCAATCAGGAGCAAAAATCAGCCTTTAAACTTGAAAGAAAAAACTATTTGAGACTTATCATGAAAATTATCGATATCGAAAGATATGAAACTTTTCATCGTGATAACATTTTTGGCCATATCGTCCAGCCTAGGCTCGACAATAACAGTGGCCTGATGGCCTGGGCCCAGTAAAAAGTAACGTTGGGACAGTTGAACTAGCAACTCACTGGCCCGATCGGGCCACTGCAAAAACATTAGTATTTAAAATAAATAAATTCGAAACTCAACATCCTGCAGTTGCTTTGCAGCTCACGTTGTCCAATCCAGATTTGTTATTACGTGACGAGTGGTTGTCAAATATTATTTCTTTAATCTCAATCAAGCAGCAGCCTCTGGGACTGGTTGCAAAAAGAAGTCGGGTTCCATTAGAAATAATGATAAAATGGTGCTACTTCTCTGAATTATTACCTCAGTAAACACTTTCATAATGAGTTTATGATCTCAGTCGCTAGTTTCATGTATTCTTCAACACAACATGATGTTCATTGAGTAAATTATGGTCCTAATTCGGGGGAAATTGACAATGCAGCATATAGTTTTGGGCGGGACTACCTTGTGATTGACAGATCGCTACCATGGCGACTTGTATCCGCTGCTTTATGTACATTTATTTTATGAAATTGCTGTCAGAAGGAGAGAGAGGGTCTCATGTTTGAGTCTGTTAGCGTGTTTTGTTTTAAAAGTGAATTGTTTTATTAACCTTTTTATTTTTTATAATTTTAACTGTGATTACATTTGAGTTTATTTTTCAATATCCAGGATGTATTTAATAACCGATAAAACATGTTAACAGTATAACATAACTTAAGTCTTTGGTTTTGTTGTAACACTGATAAATAACTTTTGGAAGGAGGGCCAGTAAAAATTATCTTGGGGCCAGTAAGTTTCAAACCAACTGGCCCGGTGTGGCCAATTGCAAAAAAGTTTTACATTGAGCCCTGAAGTCACTGATTTACTATTGCACTTAACATAAAGAGCATTCTCTTAGGCAGCACCTTGCGACCTCAAAACCAAGAATGCAAAGAACTGTGGAGAGGCTGCTTGTGGAGCTTGTCAACCCCTAAAACGTTTAAGCACATTTTGAATTCGAATATTTAAGTTCCACACAGTTGATTTCTCGCCTCACAACCTCTCAAAAGTGAATTTAGTGATGAAATAGCAATACAGCAATACAAAACTTGTAAAAAAAAAAAAAAAAAAAAAAACGTTCTGCTGTTAGCCTCTCTGTTGTTTTCCGCTTCACGCATGAATGCTTCTTCTTCGTGAGTAGTCTTACAGTCAAGCAGACATGGCAGACCGTGGAAACGATACTGCCCCTAGCATTCCATGTAGTGCATTGCAGTTAGTTGTAATTAACAACCAGAAATGTTCTTAATGACAAGATTGCTAACATCTCTGTAACGACGCACTGACAAATAAATTTCACGTAGATGAATTTTTAGAATCAACGTTGTTGATTATGTCGACGAATCGTTGCAGCCCTATTGCTCTGCCAGCTACAGATATTTAGTGTGCTAGATATCTGTCTGGCATCAGCAATCCATCATCGAGCCTCTTTGATACGTCATTGAGTAGTAAACACAACGATCATCTTGTTGATAGTGCTGCAGGCTCGCTACAAATGACACTCAACTCTGTAGCCCCTCTAAAAAAGAAAATACTAAAACAAAGACGGTTAGCTCCATGGCATAATACTGAAACTCACAAATTAAAGCAAATATCACGGAAACTTGAGAGGAATTGGCGTTTAATTTGGCAAGATAGTCTTAAAACTTATAGGAAGGCCCTCCGTAATGCCAGAGCAGCGTACTACTCGTCATTAATAGAGGAAAATAGGAACAACCCCAGGTTTCTTTTTAGCACTGTAGCCAGGCTGACAAAACTATTAGAAACAAAATTCACCAAGACCTGCCCTTAACTGGCACCATCTTATCTCTAAACTCAGGAACCTTTTGAAACAGCTGTAGAACCAGATATATGTTTAGACTGCTTTGCTTCCCTCAATCTTTACCAACTAACTAATAATTTCTTCATCTAAACCATCAACCTGCCTCTTAGACCCCATCCCGACTAGGTTGATTAAAGATGTTTTACCCTTAGTCAGCACTTCTATACTAGATATGATCAATCTATCTTTATCAACAGGCTATGTACCACAGTACTTTAAAGTAGCTGTAATTAAACCTCTTCTGAAAAAGCCCAAACTTGATCCGGATGTTTTAGCCAACTATAGACCTATATCTAACCTTCCATTTCTCTCTAAGGTCCTGGAGACAGCAGTTGCTAAACAGCTGTGTGACTTTCTACAGAGCAATAGTTTATTTGAGGATTTTCAGTCAGGATTTAGAGCTCATCATAGCACAGAGACAGCACTGGTGAAAATTACTAATGACCTCCTCATTGCATCAGACAAAGGACTTGTCTCTGTACTGGTTTTATTAGATCTTAGTGCTGCATTTGATACCATTGATCATCAGATCCTATTGCAGAGACTGGAACATTTCATTGGCATTAAAGGAACCGCTCTAAGCTGGTTTAAGTCCTATTTATCAGATCGATTTCAGTTTGTACATGTTAATGATGAGTCCTCCATGCACGCAAAAGTTAGTCATGGAGTTCCTCAAGGATCTGTCCTCGGACCAATCCTGTTCACTTTATATAGCTAAACTCCAAATGTGCCTGGATGACCTGTAATTTTCTAATGTTAAACTCAGATAAAACTGAAGTTATTGTTCTGGGGCCTAAGCACCTCCGTGACGCATTATCTAAAGATATAGTTTCCCTGGATGGCATCGCCCTGGCCTCCAGCACCACTGTGAGGAATCTTGGAGTTATCTTTGATCAGGACATGTCGTTTAAGTCTCACATTAAGCAAATTTCAAGGACTGCCTTTTTTCACCTACGTAATATTGCGAAAATCAGGAACATCCTGTCTAAAAATGATGCAGAATAACTAGTCCATGCATTTGTTACTTCTAGGCTGGATTACTGCAATTTTTTATTATCAGGCTGCTCGAAAAAGTCCGTTAAGACTCTTCAGCTGATCCAGAATGCTGCAGCACGTGTTCTGACAGGAACCAGGAAAAGAGATCATATTTCTCCTGTCTTAGCTTCTCTGCATTGGCTTCCAGTAAAATCCAGAATAGAATTTAAAATCATTCTTCTTACCTACAAAGCTCTTAATGGTCAGGCACCATCTTATCTTAAAGAGCTCATAGTACCTTACTACCCCACCAGAGCACTGCGCTCCCAGAATGCAGGGTTACTTGTGGTTCCTAGAGTCTCCAAAAGTAGACTAGGAGCCAGAGCGTTCAGCTATCAAGCTCCTCTCCTGTGGAACCAGGTTCCAGTTTGGGTTCAGGAGGCAGACTCCTGAACCATCCTTGTGTCGTCATAGGGATGAAAGGGAAGTGGTTGGACTACAAATTACATTCACACGAAAGGTATATAACTCAATAAAGGAGAGGGAAAAAGCATAATACCACCTCTTTAAGATCAGCTAAGTCGGTCTGTTGGCGCAACTGGACCCAGTAGCAGAACTTTGATAACCTATTACTTAACGGATTTGGCTCCTACAGTCATGTTTTCTGATTCCTTTTCCTGCAGGTAACTCTGTGCATGCAGACAAGAGGTTCCTGGACAAGTACATGGCACAGTTTATGTACCACCTTCACTACAGGATCATTGATGTTAGCACCATCAAGGAGCTTTGCAGGCCAGTCTTTGTTTGACGGAGTTATTGTAATAAATCCTCTTTCTGTGTAGGGCTGCAAGAAATGGCTGTTTTGATAGTCGATTAATTTATCCATTATTAAAACAAACGACTATTTCTCTGCATCTTATTTATCTATCAGCTTTTAAATTTAGGTTGAGGTTGTTTTAGGTATGTGCTAATTAAGCATAAAGAGAAAATAATTAATACTGCATTTAAAAATAGATATATTAACTTAACAGAATATCTACGTGAATCAAGTCCTGTCATAGACCAAACAGGTATAAACAGTAAGAAATGACTGTGTGTGACGGTGTGCGCTGCACTCATCTGTCCAGCTGATCTACTGGTAACAAGACATAGGAGGACAGGAGAAACATATCTGAAGCAACACAGAATGGCTGAGAGCTTGACTGCATTATATTGTTTTAGAGTTTTAGATTTTGAATAGTCAGCTGCCACCTGAATGTAGTGTTTCCCTTTACACAAATAAAAACATTTCAACCAGGAAAAAATCACCAGAATGCAGGAAAAGTTTAATTCTCAAAATGTTCAGATGATTCAGCATTAAAGATATCTTAAAAACAGTGTTATAATCTCATCTCGACTTTGTGAACCTGATATCGTGTCTCGTCTCATCTCGTGAAGTACATGTGTCGTTGCACCCCTACTTTTAACATTAAGCTAGCTACCGTAGCGGGTGAAGTGTGAAATGTTCCCACACTTTAGGGATTTTACGTAGTGAAGGTGTTACCATTGCTGATGTTGCTAAATTAACTTTTCACTTCACTTGATGATGTTATGAACTAATGGATAAATAAATTTGTTGGCAACTAATTTCATCATTGATTTTTGACGACTATGTTGATTATTTGTGGCACCCCTAGTTCTGTTAGTGCTCTGTTTTGCTGATATTTTCCTTCCTGTCCTCATTAATGGCACTATGGCATTGCCAGTTTGCATGTCAGTTTAAATATTGCATTGCTGAGTAGGTAACTCAATGATAAGTATCTCTACTTAAAAGGTACATCAGATGAAATAAAAAGTAGTATGGCATTCTCTTCAATGTTACTGTATATGACCAGCTTAAACAGACATTTATTTTTGTTTTTCTTCTATAAACACTTTCAGACGGTGGTTTCCAGAGGAATACAGTATGGTGCCTCACAAGAGAGCAACCCACAGGTAAACAATCACATCAGCATAATCATGTACACTAGTCATTGCTTAAAGGATGTTTCTGGTTTATTTCATCTGAATTTGCACTTTTGCCTTTGTTGTCAATTATGATTACACTGTACTCACCAAAGTAACTGCTAAGATCTTTGAACACGGTGACAGGGCAGATTAGAAATAAACCAACAGTTAATCGAGATTATCTACCACTTAATTTGAAGGTCAAACTGAAAGTGAGCTCAACAAAAATGTCTATAATTCCTCATTGTACAGGAAAACTGTCTGTTGTAAATATACATCACAGTTTACAGAACCACTTTATGCTTGAACTTTTACCTTTGGGTAAAATGATTACCTAAACTACAGTACTGTAGTTGCGCCATGGCAAAGGCTGTGGATGCTTATGTACATGTGCTTTATTATTTTTTTATTTTTTAATAAATTTGCAAAGATTTTAAACAAACTTCTTTCATGTTGTCATTATGGGGTAGTGTTTGTAGAATTTTGAGGAAAAATAATGAATTTCATCCATTTTTGCAATAAGGCTGTAACATAAAGTGTGGAAAAAGTGAAGCGGATGCCAATCAGCCACTGTAGTAGGTAGACTAAAAGTAGGACTAAAATTAAAGCGATCTTATATCTCCACATCTGTGTTTGTAATTAACATGAAACTTGGACTAGTAGTTTCCTGTGCCGCCCTGAGGTTGTGTGAAAACGTTTGCAGCAATCGGGCACTAGGTGGTGCCCTTGTTGAAAACTCATGAAAAACGTTAAAAAACATTTGCAAATTGTTTTTAAGTAGATTTGGGTGGGATAGAATGGTGCACACATGGCAGACGGCAAAATATATAAATGGCCGCCAGCAGCTGGCGCTATAATTTGGGTAAGTGCATTTTGGCTCGAAACTCTCACATAATATGTTGCACATTCAAATACCTTATGTGCACGTATTCCCTGAATTTAGCTGCATCTCAAAACATAGGACATGACTATTTTTGCATATAATTATTTTTTGCGTAATGTGCAAAACCTGTTTTTTCATACTCCTCCTAGGCGGTAAGTTCGATCTATACAAGTCTTTGCACAGACACTATGGACCCTCATGATCAAAAGTTAAATAATAATTTTGATAGTCCTTTAAATGCCCTAGTTTTAAAGGAACCGCTTTCGTACGTTATGGTCAAATCAGGAAGTGAGCTCCACATAGCACATTCGTTTAACACAAAACTTGGCTTGAAATGAATTTGAATTATCTTTTAAGTTTGGTGTGGACTCACTCAGAATGTTCAGAAGAATATGCACAAAATTTACCTTTGGTTCTCTCCTTCAGAGCCTTGGATGACATTCGGGAGAGCATTAAAGAGCTGCAATACTACAGAGCCAATATCTTCAAAGTCTCAACAGAGGAGAAGAAGCGCAAAATTGTAGAAAACGGCAACCAATGTTGAATAGAGCTTTTGCTGTTGTGTTGCTGTATTTCCCAAAGAAAGCCATTTCATCATTTAATGTGATTTGTTTGTCCTCAATAATTTTTGTTTCTGTTCATATTTAACTGCCCAATGATCTTTTGTTACTCTGTTGTGCATTTTAGAGGTTTAATCAAAGGGAGGAAGATTCTAAAAGCAGTTTATTCAAAAGAAAAGTTTAAAAGAGGAAAACGTGACCATTGGTAGTTTGGAGTTTTGTAATTATTGAGACATCTTTATTCTGGGATTGACCCTCATTTTCCCTTGTTTTTAAAATAAAACCAAATAAACAATGGTCTCTGAGGAAAAAGTCTAGTCCGCCAGTGTCATCTTTATTAACTAAATGCCACACATACCAAATGTAACAGTTTGGTGCATGTAGAAGGTTTGGGCAGGAAGATTGACTTGAGAGTGTTTATGGACACAGCGGTTTCAAGCTGTGAGCTGCTGGAGCAGCTGGAAAATTTAACATTTTAGGAGGTGATGTGACAGACAAACAAAGTCTATATGGAAAAAAATATCTTGTCCTCTCTAGTGTGATTGCTGTAGATGTTTTACTTTATTTTTTTTACTAACTGCAAAAACAGTTACACTCCAAATTCAAATCACCTTCCCCCACTGCCAAACTGAGTGACACACTCCGCCTGTGGAGTCACCTGGCCCCGTGGGGTCACTCTGCGCTTCTCATGTGAACAGACACCAGACAAGAACTCTGTGAGTAAACGGAAGGCACTCTATACAGGTGCTGGTCATATAATTAGAAGATCATCAAAAAGTTGATTTATTTCAGTAATTCCATTCAAAAAGTGAAAACTGGATATTCATTCATTACACACAGACTGATACATTTCAAATGTTTATTTCATTTAATTGTGATGATTAAAACTAATGAAAATCCCAAATTCAGTATCTCGGAAAATTTTAATATTACTTAAGACCAATACAAAAAAAAGGATTTTTAGAAATGTTGGCCAACTGAAAAGTATGAACATGAAAAGTATGAGCATGTACAGCACTCAATACTTAGTTGGGGCTCCTTTGGCCTGAATTACTGCAGCAATGCGGCGTGGCATGGAGTCGATCAGTCTGTGGCACTGCTCGGGTGTTATTCAATTCAATTTTATTTATATAGTGCCAAATCACAACAACAGTTATCTCACAGCGCTTTTCATAAAAGAGCAGGTCTAGACCGTACTCTATGATGCTATTTACAGAAGCCCAACAGTTCTCACCAAGAGCAGCACTAGGCGACAGAGGCAAGGAAAAACTTCCTTTTAAGAGGCAGAAACCTCGAGCAGAACCATGGCTCAGGGTTGGCACCCATCTGCCTCGATTGGTTGGAGTTGAGGGGGAGAGAGAGAGAGAAAGAGAAAAGGCAAGAGAGAGAGATAGCTATAAAGAGGGAGAGAGGGATGGGGGGGTAGGGGGTAGATGCTTACACAATATCCACACAGAAGCACAGACATTAAATGTAATATTGGTACAGACTGAATGATTAATGGTACAGATATGCATGGACTAGTTTTTCTGCATCATTTTTAGACATGTTCCTGATTTGCAATATTACGTAGGTGAAAAAAGGCGGTCCTTGAACTTTGCTTAATGTGAGACTTAAACGACATGTCCTCATCAAAGATAATTCCAAGATTCCTCACAGTGGTGCTGGAGGCCAGGGTGATGCCATCAAGGGAAACTATATCTTTAGATAATGCGTCACAGAGGTGCTTAGGCCCCAGAATAATAACAGTTTTATCTGAGTTTAACATCAGAAAATCTTTGAGGAAAGTCTTTGAAATTTGTCCTGATCAACGATAATTCTGAGATTCTGGATCTGTGGTTGCGGGTCACCTGCTGCCCCCGTGTTCCTGCTCGGCACCCTCTGCTGCAACGACTATTGTTGCTAGTCCTATTATTATTATTGATATTATAATCATTAACATTACCATTGTTATCAATAACACTACCATAAATATCTATACCATTTTTCATTTAGTCTATAGCAACATCACCTTTACTGTCTGTACGTCTGTGTGTATATTGTGTAGGCTGCCTCCCTCCCCTCTCTCACCTTCCATCCCTCTCTCTTTCTCTCTGTTCCTCTCCTGCCCTCTCTCTCTCTCTCTGTTCCTCTCCTGCCCTCTCTCCCCCCCCCCCCCCTCCTTCACCCCAACCGGTCGAGGCAGATGGCCGCCCACCCTGAGCCATGGTTCTGCTCGAGGTTTCTGCCTCTTAAAAGGAAGTTTTTCCTTGCCTCTGTCGCCTAGTGCTGCTCTTGGTGAGAACTGTTGGGCTTCTGTAAATAGCATCATAGAGTACGGTCTAGACCTGCTCTTTTATGAAAAGCGCTGTGAGATAACTGTTGTTGTTATTTGGTGCTATATAAATAAAATTGAAAGTGAAATTGAATGCAAATGAAGTGCAATCTAACTTAAATTAATTAAATTAATCAACATCTGTGATGAAGCCAAAGAAAATCAATCAGTCATTGAAGTTACCACTGCCTTAAAATGAACTTGAAAAGCAAAATCACTGGTTTCAACAAAAAAAGGAAACTTTTGATGGTTTTATATAGGTTGTAAATGTGTGGATGGCATAAAACACATACCATTGCTGAAAGTGTAATCACAGATGATATTGGACCTGATGACAGTGTTTCTAATGTGTCAAAACGTAAACCAAACCACAAATCAAGTTCTTCATCACGTGCATCATCAACATCCTCTGCTCTCATTAAAGCTCAGGCAGAAAAGGCTGCTCTCATGGAACGGGTTGCAGCCCTGCAGAAAAAGCATGACCTGGAGGCACAGGAAGAACAACTGAAAAGGAAGAAGGAACAACTGGAACTTGAGACTGAACTGGCAGCAACCAATGCGAAAATCAATGTACTTGAATCAATGGGATAAAGAAACAGCTCAAAAGTATCTGATGGGAAGAACTCTTATTTGGGAAAAGGAACTGCTCAAAAGAAAACGTCAGTCAAATTAAATCCACATGCAAACACCTATTTACCTGATCTTCTGCAACAAAGACAGAATGTGTGGATGGGAACTGAATCTTCTTCCCAGCAACAGGTTGTTCGACCAAAGGAAAGAGCTAATTGACCGTCTGTTAGAGCTCAGGATATGACTCCTCTAACACAACAACCTGTATTTAATGATGGTAATCATGGTGAAATCTATCACATAATTCAGAGGCAAAATGACATCACAGCTCTTCTTGCTCAACAAAATCTCCCTTCTACTTTACCACCAAGAGACCTTCCTGTTTATGATGGTGATCCATTGCAATATGGAGTTTTCATCAGGGCAATTGAGAGAGGAGTGGAAAGAAAGACGGATGACTAATGTGACTGCCTGCATTCCCTAGAGCAAGTAATGTCGTGTAAAAATTCAAGACTTGGGCCAGATAAGAAAGCTTGAACTTTTACCAACATTTTTATTATCAACAAAAAGAGATTAGAATTAGTATTAAGAACCAATTAGAATACAAAAGTTCCACCGGAGTGTGTCAGAGATCAGTGCAAAATAGAGCCCCATTCTGTTACCAGAACAGAGACCCGAGTCGACATGAAAACCATGTAACGACTGACTCTCACCTCCTTTTGGACCTCCTTTTATAGCTCTGTTTCTTGGCTTCACATCATCTCTTGGCTCTCTTTACTACTACACCTGGATCTGGGAAATTCCCTGACTGCCTGCTCCTCCTCTCTGTGTCCTTTGAATGCCCTCTGCTGATCATACTATTTCATTCATAACCTGACTTTGTGGTAATAAACTGGTGTTGTTTGTGCTCTGTGCTAGAAACAGGACATTCTTACTGTGATGGACTATATTGATGTATGTTTTGTAGTACAATTTTCACAAAATCTGCTTCTAAATTTTCCTTTGCAAGTGTTTTTGATGCTATCTTACTGTGCTCCCCCCTCTGCTCCCAAAGCACACGTGCGACTGCTGAGCCTGGGCAGTTAGATACAGGGGGAGCACACACAGGAGCTCAGACACTCAGAGCTATAGAGTTTTAACACTGTGATCCTAACTTTACACTATAAAATAACACTTTAAATGATGACAATGTAGACCACCATTGCTCTAGTAATTAATAATAACACTTTAGGCTATAATGCTCCAAAATAATTCACAACACTCCCTCCTCTGAGGCTGTAAAGCCTCACAATTTATACACCAACACTGTGACCACTGAAAATAGGCGGCCTATTGTATTTGCAGATCTGAAACCTATTCCTCAGACTTGCAGACCTTCAAGAAAATACCAAAATTATTGTTTACATGAAATAATCAATAATCATGCGGTGGGCTGTTACTGTTGCTAACACATTTGAGCAAGTTATAATGACAAGGATTTCCATTACTCCTCCTTATTACCCTTTAAATGAGTTTCCCTTTAAATGTGCTTAACATATTAAACTACCTATACGTGCTGTAATATAGTCTGATATACCTTGTAAATGGTTTACACTCGAAACAAAATGATATCTTTATGCAGTGAGCTGTTCTTTCGTTATATAGTTTAGCAAGCTAACAATTATAACACCTACCATGTGTTGAAAGGCACACATCATATCAAAACATTCACAGGGTGCATAGTGAACTTTCTGTGTAACAATACAGTAACCAGACATAACAGTGTTTCCACAATCATTCATGTGACACTCCAGAATGGTGCATAATGTCCAATAAACATGTATGATGTCCATTTTGAAAGTTTAATCTGTGGTACTGTGGAACTCTTTTTTGGCACTCAGGTTTCTTGGGGAACAGACTGGGTACCAATTTGAGGGCGCTCAGTTGTTTGTAGTTTCAGTCTTGTTCTTCCCTTTGCTGGTTCACTTGGACTCATAGCTGGTGATTGTCAAAGTTGTCTCTGTGGTGGTGCAGGTCGCGCTTGATCTTGCCTGCTGCTGCGTCTGCCTCACGAGGCATCACAGTGGAGATTGGCCTCCTCTGGTCTTTGGCTGCGAAGAAGTATTTACCTTGCTTGCAACTGTATCTTGTATCTTTGTAGTTTGGAAACTTTAACTATCGTCTCTATCTGTGAGGAAAATATCTCTTTTTCAACATGAGTTTGCTTCCTAGATATTCCATTTAACCCTTCTAACCTCCTGTATATCTGTGTATTGAATTACATTGCTATTGGACGTATAAATAGTAAATCTTGAAATAAAACTCAATTGTTTATTAGTGCACTAAAATTCCATACTTCAGACTACTTTACTAATAATACCTGCAGAACAGAAAACAAATTAACTCAGGTGTTCAGCATCACACATGTGGCTCAGGTTATCATTCCAGTTGCTT